TGAACACTTCCGGGATGTACAAGTGGCTCAAACTCGCTCATTTTGAGGCAGGAACCAGCGGACGTGCAATAACTTTAACTATGAGGTAAACACAAAGCTGCCCTGTCCTGCGCGTGGTGTGTGTGTGTGTGTGTGTGTGTGTGTGTGTGTGTGTGTGTGTGTGTGTGTGTGTGTGTGTGTGAATGTGTGTGCGCACATGTTTCTTTGCAAAAAACCTGCCTAAACGTCGTTGTCTGTAGCCACTAAATCAAAAAGTTACCAATTGCCGTGAGATTGAGTTGCACTTTCAGCTCACATCATTCAAAAGAAAAGGTCCACATTGTACCCCGATAATGTCAACAGACTGGACTGTTTTAGCAACTGGATGAATTTAAAGGAGGACTAAGCAAAGTTGTTTCTACTTTATAATTAATGTCCTCAATTCACAACAATACAACTTTACAATGAGTACAATTGTTTGAATTCAATACTTTATTGTTATTATAATTTTCCATTTTTCATATCTGCAATGCCTGTATTTCGGCTTTTTTTTTTTTTTTCAGTCCACTTAGAATCCAACTTGGAAATCAAAGTTTTCTTTATTGGCATTGATTGTTTTAAAATTCAAATGGCATTAACATGCCTGTGTTTTAATTTCTGTAATAAAAATGGCTGTTAAGCCAGGATCTTGATGGTTTATTGTGGGTATGTTGTTTACATAAGGAAATCTGTGTTAAAAGTTAAACAAAAATAAATAAATAAACAATTATATTTTGAATTTAAATAGTTTTTGTCTTGCATTTACATTAATTTTACATTTTAATAGCCAAAATGACAAGTTTCAGTCTTTAAAATGTGATTAATCGAAATAAAAAAAGTGATTAATTAGTTAATTTTTTTAATTGATTGACAGCACTAATATATATATATATATATATATATATATATATATATATATATATATATATATATATATATATATATATATATACATATATATATATACAACATATTAAACATTTGAATATAAATGTGATTATAAATGTAAATATTAAATAAGTTAGAATAAATAAAACAATAAATAACATTTACATACTTAAAATAATTATTCTTCAAATTATTAACATTTTATTTCACAAATTATACTTATATTAGGGCATTTAATATATTTATGCAGTAGTGTTCTATTTAAACAAAATATAAAAATTCCAAATGTTTTATAAGTAGCTGATTTTATGTAAAGCAGTACTAAAATGACAATAAATTAAGTTGCATTAAATAGATACAGAAAAAATGATGTCCAACCAGACGATTTTTCTGCTTCGATTGCTTCAACAGGATCATAAATGTTTCATACTTGAACTCATTTACCATAAAACATGCGTGGGGAATCAAGAGTCTGTCATGAGACTGAGCCGCGTGTCATGCGGGACAGCCGCAACATCTCAGACCAAAACTACTGTACATTAGTGTAACCTGCGTCCAGTTTTTACTTAACACATGTGGACAGAACTAATTTGCATAATGTGTAGCCAAAGATCCGAACAACAGCAAAACAAGTTCAACTGTGTGCTCAGCCCATTCTCTCTCAGTTAATGCTGAATAAAACACATACACACTCACCCACACACACACAAAACACAAACACACACGTTTGGTTTGCATCCTTATGGGGACTTCAGACTTCATATTACCCCCTTACCCTTAAACTCAGCCCCTTACAGAAAATATTCTGCATTTCTACATTATCAAATGTGTCATTTTTAAGCATGTTTACTTATATACGTGCATATATTTTGTTGGCACAAGTCCCCATGAGTATTTGTGCATTAAGGTTTAAGTCCCCACCAGGGTATGAAAACAAGACGACATATACAAGCATTCAGACACGCACCTATAAGGGTTCAAACTAATCTACAAAAACTTTATATTGTCTTGGGTAAAATCCATTGCAATTAGCTAAACATTAGGTTATATACTGTATTAGAGTGTAAGAAAGAGAAAGGGAGGCTACGTACAGGGTACATCCAGTAATGTGGGCTTCACTAAGGTCCTCTGGGGTGTGTAATCCACCCCATGGGGCCCCAAGAGAAAGAGGGTCCACCCATTGAATGATGTCTGGGGCCTCATGGATTTCAGCAGTGGGCCTGGTGGTTAGACTTAAAGAGTTAAATGAGCTGTATAGGAAGGTTAAGATATGCTGTGTTTATGTAGATATGACATCAGAGTCAAAAGTTTAGATTACGCAGGGTTAAATGATACAACAATTAAATATACTGCAGGAAGAGACAAGGGTAAGGTCAGATCAGATGCAAGGGTACTGTAGAAAGGGACTGATACAATTTACTTGCATTAAATAAAAAGAATAAAATACAATATAATAAATAGCTGTTGTCGTTTTATATGTAACTAAAATAATTATTCTTTAAATTATTATAATTAAATTTTTTACATATTGTACTTATATTAGTGAACAAATCATATACATATGCTGTAGTGTTTTATTTGCACAAAATATAAACATTCAAATTTGTTAATGTTATTAAAAACTTTTAGATTATTAAAATTACGTTAATTTTGCCAACCGACAACTGCTGCTCGTTAACCAAATTTTAATGGTTAACTGGTCAGATAATATAAAATTATTATTTAATTTTTTAAAAATTGACATGTCTATTTTGTGTCTGACACATTAAATATCAGGTATTTATTGTGTCTAACACATTAAAAAACTGATTTATTTTAGCATGTGAACAACAGCATACAGAACATATTTACAACAGCACATCTTCAAGAATTTAAGTTTTTTCCATCAAATGAAAAGAGCAAGCCACCTCAAATCGATCGCTCCATGTAAAATATGCAATTAATTGACGGAAACCCTTCTGCTTTCATTTGATTGAAGAATGAAAAAGACGCAACTGATGTAACACACTTTTTACGCTCAGAGTTGGCTTTTTTTAACTGCGAAAAGACAGCGAGCATCGGCAAAAAACGTGAGGCACACAGGGCGCCGCAAAACGCTTGTGGCTGTTAGTAAACCATTCAAAAGACGCCCCTCTCAATGCAAAAAGCGCATTCGCTGCGATCAGGCCCGTATGCAGCCAAACTTCAAAAACACATATAATAATATTTTTAAACATTTTAATCGGGTAAAAATGCACCTTTTCAGTTTATGGTTAGTGGGTTATTATATATATTATATTATTATTATTTATATTAATACTTTTGTTTTTTTGCACCGCTTGATTTTTATTTGCAGTTCTTTTTTTTTCTTTTTTTTTTTTTTTTTGCAAATTTCAGTTTTATTTCTTAAAACTTCATTTTCCCTTTGCGGTTTTTTACTTTTGTTACTAAAATTTATTTTCCTTTCTCAAAAATTAATTTTCGCTTTGCAATTTCTGAAGAGGTGACGCAGTGGCGCAGTGGGTAGCACGTTCGCCTCACAGCAAGAAGGTTGCTGGGTCGCTGGTTCGATCCTCGGCTCAGTTGGCGTTTCTGTGTGGAGTTTGCATGTTCTCCCTGCGTTCGCGTAGGTTTCCTCCGGGTAATCCAGTATCCCCCAAAGACACGTGATACAGATGAATTGGGTAGGCTAAATTGTCTGAGTGTGTGTGTGTGTATGTGTGGATGTTTCCTAGAGATGGGTTGCGGCTGGAAGGGCATTCACTGCATAAAAATGTGCAGGATAAGTTGGTGGTTCATTCCGCTGTGGCGACCCCAGATTAATAAAGGGACTAAGCTGACAAGAAAATTAATGAATGAATTTCTGGATATTTGCATTTGTTTATATTTTCCTCAATACATTATTTTTTGTTTGCAAATCTTTCTTTTATTTGGCAGGTATATACAGTCCTAGAAAAACTCCATACTAAGGAGAGAAGCACCACCATTGCAAACATGGGAGCAAATAAGACTTTATTTAAAGATTATCAAAACAAACTTTTTTTTTCAGTGGATTTATTTATCTGGATTGATTTTGCACCTAAAAAATAACAATGTGCTCTAGAAAAATAAAAAATGTAAATTTTGATTTCACATGGCCTTTAAAGTCAGCATGAAATGCAAGTTCCTAAGAGTTTTAATGCAGTATTCATGTACTTCCAACTAAAATGGAATATCGAGTAGTGGGTGGAGCTTTCTTTTTGCGCATCATTCCGTCAGAGCAAACTAACGGAAAAAAGAGGCGTGTTTAAGAATGTTGTGGCTGAAGGGTCAAACACCATGGCAAACGTGGAAGCAAATAGTCAGAGTTTGATTGAAGATTACCAAAAGACTTTTCAGTGGATTGATTTACCTAGATTAATTTTGCACCTAATTAATGACAATGTGCTCTAGCAAAAACAAAAAAATAGATTTCACATGGCCTTTAAAGTCTGCATGAAACAATAGTATCTGGATGCAGCCTTTATGATGCAAGCTGAGATTGCATCACTCAGCAATGCAATGTCAGACACAATGCACTCAAATGGAGCTAGTGACGTCATTGAGGGGTAGGGTTAGTGGGGTTAGGTGAGTCTATTAAGAAGCATTGGATGCAGCCCAGATTGCACTGCACCAGGTCTGGATCCAGACCCCTCTCCATGAAATGTAAAAGTTGCTGAGATTTTTGTATGTTGATTTACTTCCAACTGAAGTGGAATATTGAGGAGGAGGCGTGGCTTTTTTTGCACATCATTCCATCATAGCAAACTAAAAGGGGCGTGGCTCAAAATATTGAGGCTGTCAAAATAACGTGAAGCACCATCAAGCTCAGACTTTCATTAAAGATTACAAAAAGCAAACATTTTTTAGTGGATTAACCTGCAGTGATAAATGATTCACCTAAAGAATAACTATATGCACTAGTAAAATAAACACTGAAAATTTTGACTTCACTCAAGCACTTTAAAAATATATATTTTAATAGATTACACAATATTTGCAGGATGGGATATAGAGGCATGTAAAGGAGGGGTCAGATATGGTGATGGTGTTGGTGAAAGTGGGCCGGGCCTCGCGCAGCTGAGTCCCATCTGAAGCTCGGGTGCGCGCATTTAACATGATTGATCCGCTAATAGGACAGAAGAGCAGACGCACAACTTCAGCTTTAAGTCTACCCACGGTTCCTCTTTCCTCCTTTCTTTCCACTTCAACTCAAACGAGCTTGATGTGAGCCGAGGGGGGAAAAACTCCAAAAATCACCTCCTTTCCCTTCTGTCACCCTCACAGAGCACCTCTCACCTTTACTTTCGGATTGTGGCTTTAACTCACGGCTTCACTGGGCACAAAACGACACGAGATTCTCTTCTGCAACTTTAACGCACACCAGGGACAAAATCACCGACAGGGAAACTTGATTTTTCTTTATTTTTTTTTTTCTGGCACAAAGAAGCGTTAAAGTTACACAATGAGTCTGAAGTCAGATTCAGAGACGAACACCAGTGTTTCATTAGAGGAGGAGGTAAGAGAAATAAACTCTTTTAGTAAACATAAAACTTCCTTTGGTGAAGTTGAAGCCTCTCCCGGCGGATGACTTGTGGAAACTTTCATTTGTTTTGGTGTTTTAGCTGCTTTAAACGCGTTGTTTGCTGCGGTTTGAGGAGAAGCGTTTCCTGAGGAAAAGTTTGAGAGGAATGCGGAGTCTGTTGATGATTAATCTTCAAGTTGGCGTTGAAATGTGAGACTCACCTGATGAGAGAGACTTTTGTGTGGATAAAGTTTAAAGTCGGGTTTAACGAGCAAATACTTCACTGAGTGTTGCTTTGAAGCTTTTCTATCGGTATCATTCCCCGCAAAGACGCGCAATCTGACGTAAATGAACGACAGTCCACTTTTTCTCACTCTTTTGGGCTTTTTAATTCAGTCCAGAGTTCTGTTTATAGTGTGGGTACCGTTTGCTTTATTTACTGCTTCGTTTCATTCTACTCTGATTGAATGTTTGGAGATTAAAATTTCAACGTATTGTAATCTTTAATGGGTTTTAATTCAAGATGTCATTTAGGTACTTTAAGATTATTTGCATCTTATATAGACCTATAATTGTATGGCTTATTTTGATAATTTGTCAAATAGACAGATTAGGGGATTAAGCTCCTTTATGTGAACTTAAGTCATTCTTATATAGTCACAAAATAAAATTGAGCTGATGGAGGTATACTTCAATTTACTTGAGACCCTTGAGAAAAATATTGTTTCATTTTAATCTATAGGCATATTTTTTTTGCTTTATTTGGGTAATTTTAATTGGTTTTAAGATGTTGTTCATAATTTGAAAGTACTTTATTGTTTACATTTTTATATATGCCTTATTGTATGCTTTTGATAGTTTGTCAAAAAAAAAAGAGCAGGATACCCTTAATCTGTGTGTAATTTAATCTTTAGTCATTCTTATATTGTCTCACAATAAATTTGAGCTTCTAAGCAGTGGGTCTTCAATGTTAGATGCTATTAAAAACATGCATGCAATGTTTGTTTGACAAACCCCTGTCTTAAAATGGGAAAGGCATCTATTTAGTTTTTTTTAGCTTGTTTTTTACTTTAATGTTGGTGCTTTGTTTTATATTTTACTCTGATTAATTTTTGGAGATTTTATTTTCTCTGAATTGTAATAAAATCTAGATGTCATTGATAATTTGGAGGTACTTTTAATTTACTTGACCCTGAAATATTGTTTACAATTTTATTTTATTTTACTTGGGCCTAATTTTATTTAATTTTTCGATAATTGTAATTGTTTTTTTTTTTTCAATTCAAGATTCATACAACTAGGCCTATATATAAAATAAAAATGTTAAGAGTCTTAAAGTAGGATTATTCTTTAGGGTTGTTTACATTTTTATTTTATATAGCCCTAAATGGATGCTTTTATTTTGATCATTGAAAAAAATAGAGCAGGATACCCTTAATCTGTCTGTATTTAAGCTTTACTCATTCTTATATTGTCACAAAATAAAATGGGGTTTTAAAGCAGTGGGGTTTCAATGTTTTAGATTAAAAGCATTTATATATACATTGTTTGCTGTTTGATAAACCCCGTCTAAAAAAAAAGGCATCTACAGTTTCTATATTTTTTTTATGTTGGTGCAGTTTATTTTTTGCTTTGTTTTATTTTACTCTGATTAATATCTGGAGATTTTAAATTTCTCTGAATTGTAATATTTAATTGCTTTTAATTCTAGATGTCATTAACAATTTGGAGGTACTTCAATTTACTTGAGACCCTAAAATATTGTTTACATTTTTATAGGCTGAATTTTATGCTTTATTTTGATCCTTTTAATTGGCTTTAATTTAAAATGTCATTTGTAATTCAATGGAGGTATTTTTAAGATTGTTTACTATTATATATAGGCCTAATGTATGCTCTTCTTTTGATAATTTGTCAAATAATGGAGCAGGATGCACTTAATCTGCCTGTTTTTAAGCTTTACTCCTTATGTTGTCACAATACGTTTTGTTATGTTTGTAAAAAAAATTTCTGCTTCTAGTTCTGTATTCATATTTAATCATTCATTAAAATTATGTAATTTTTTTTAAGGAATGTATTAAATAATCACAATCCTTTTCTTTAATGTCTCAAGGGTTAAACACACCTATAACTACATTATTATAATTATCATAATCACAAATATACATTAACGTAATTAAACCTTTAATTTATTTGAATTTATTCAAATAATAATTGAATTTTAATTAATATTTTAAATTAATAGATTTGTTTTACACTTTCATAATTAATTTGATTGGAGTGTACCAATTATTTGCATAGGTGGTTTTTAAATTGATGATTTGACTCTTCAAACATTTGTGTATCACATAATTGCATAAATATTAGCGTGTTTTTCTTTATATTAAAATTATTTTATATTTGTAATACAATAATTGTGCATTTTTAAACTGCTTTTCTGATTAAGTCAAATATAGTTTCTGTTATGCTGTTTGTTGGTGTTTTTATTTTATTTATTTATTATGATTTCAATTTAATAGTTTTTGCTCTCTCTAGATGTATTTTGGACCCCCTAGAACCCTCTTTTGCAGCCCCATTTTGCTCCCTTGGCCACATTTTAAATGCCTTTATTTGCTGAGCTTTTTAGTCCAGTCTATGCATCACCTTTGACCTCTTATGGAGTCATTTCCTACATTATTTTACTTACAGCTTGCAAACACCGTGTCAGAACACCCAGCCTTTATCAGGTTTTTTTCTATGTAAAAATGAGCAGTTTAAATGCTCATGTAAAACTGAAGCGGGCCTCTCGTCAAGGGTCTGGGGTGGGAGTCGTGTCCTGTCATTGTTTCAGCACTGGGTCAGTGCGTTTGCTGTGGCGCATTCTGATTGTTCATTGTGTTCAAGCCTGAACCTGCAATAATGAGCGCAGTAGGTTTCCTCCCTCCATATAAAGGCCTTACGAAAGCCGCATTCTTTTTTTTTTTTTACTGACAGAATCAACAGTTTATTTTGGTCATTAAGTGGCACATTGTCTGTCGAGGAGTGTTTATACTATTTTAATGAAATTCCTCTTGTTTGTTTGTGCTCTCAGCTGCTGGCGGCGCTGATGCTAATGAGCAGTTCCAGTGTTATGGATGTGACATTATATTGAAACATCTGTTTATATTTTTCAACAGAACTCGCAATATAGTTATGCAATCAGAAAAAGTTATCTTTTAAATGTATTTTATATTTAAATTGAGGAAAATAAACATGCGTTATGCATGTGACCAAAAATTGTATGCAAGTTTACAGTATACAAAATTCTGTGAATTTTAAAATTGCACAACCCAAAAAAACTATGCTAATCAAAAGGATAAGAGTTGGCTCACTATAGAACAAACATGATTGATTTTTGATTTTAATTTGACATTTTTGCATTGAGGAAAAAGCTTCGTTGTGGATGTGTCTGATGTGAAATCAGCACTTGAGAGTTTGGTAAATCAAATATTGTTTAAAAACATTTGACAGACTTTTGAGTATATTTAAAGCACTATAAAATACTTGCTTGCACAAACTTAGGCCTCTCTTAATGATCCAGGCGCAAAGTCTAAAGCAAATAGTGCATTAGACATGTCCGAATCCACTTTTGCTCTTTTAAGGACTTAATAATACGGTTCACGTCGTGGCGCATGGTCTAACAGGGTTGTGCTTATCCTCTTAATGAGTTATAGGTGTATTTTGAGCATATACCAATCAGAGTCTCATCTCTCGTTGCCTTTAAGAGTCCGTTTTGTCATGCCATGGCACATTTGCTATTTACATGGCAGACTTTGTAAGTAGAAAAACTGAACGCTTCACTAGCGAAAAAATGGTTAAACAGACCATCTGCAGCACGAGAATAAAGAACGAGCCTCCTCTATTCTGCCCCTTTTTCTTTTGTGGATAAGGAAACCGTGTTGTACGCGCTCCACTGTAGACATTCACTGGCCTACATATTTAATTTTAAGCTCAAAGATTTGTTTCTAAACTATTTCAAAGTTCAGTTTTTCGAATAAATGAGCAATAATAGTTATAATAGTTATCCAAACACGCGTCCTATGCCCCCATATGGTCCAAAACCTGAGGTGGACAAATTGAAGCTCTGTTTTTAATAAAACCAATATAAATGTGCGTACTGACCATTTCAATGTGGTGATGTCATTGGCCCTTGAACATTTCCTGCTTGTTGTCAAACTATTTGAATAACTGGAACTAGGGGAAATTCAATTATGTATATCTACGTTTAAACAGCTGTCATAATGTTATTTATCAATATGTGGACCTTTTAGGATTCTCAGGAGCTATGGAAATTAATGTAAAACAGGAAATACTTTAAGACCATTGTTATTGTTTAAATCTCTCAAAATGGTCTAAAACAAATACTACTACTACTACTACTACTACTACTACTACTACTACTACTACTACTACTACTAATAATAATAATAATAATAAACATAAGCAAGTTGTCATAAATAAACTGAAAAAAGAAATGCTCCTTAACACACCCATTTTCTAGACTGGAACACCCATGAGTCCACAAAGTTGCACTAATGGATTTGCTATTTACACAAAGTGGCGCAAAACATGAAAATTAGGGTTGCTCTGGTCTGAAAATAGCAACACATCGTGCCAAACCCGTCTTGCGCCTTATTGCGCTCGGTGTATGATAGGGCCCTTAAAAGGTGTCTTGCTAATCTTTTTATTACATTATTTTTCCATGGCTAGGTTGACATTTGCATGGATTTGCTGTAGTGATTTGGGAGCTCTGAGAATAATCAAAGTTTCTTTGTAAACTGACAGATGTAAACTGGTCCTCTCAGGAAATGACTGGTTTCCTGAGCTGCTGTATTGGTGGAAGTGATATGTACAGAGATGGACGCTTCGCAGTTTAAGCACTATAATGATCTGACATTTATTTTAGGTATGTGGCTTGAACTCTTATGGCATTTATGCAGTATAGTACTTCGGAGAATACCATACCATGCTTTGTGTACACCACAGGGCCTTATTTCAAAAAGGAGGTTAAGTGAAAACTCTGAGTATGTCAACTCTGAAATGAGAGAAACTCTGGGTTTTCGTTTTAAACTGGCAGGTTTATCAAACTCTAAAGCAGGATAAGTCAAGCCTGTTTCTGAAAGAGAGGTAGCTTTAACTCCGAGTCCGTTAATGTGGTAATTTACTGTGTGAACTTAACCTGGTTTAGACGAGGTTTTATTCTATTGTTTTGTCAAATTTATTGTAGAAATAGCCTATTTTATGTAATTTAATGCGATTTACATTTGAAATAACTTAAATTGTCCAATTCTCCACTTTTTTCAAGTGAAAAGTCGATAAACGTCACGCATTATTATTATTATTATTATTATTATTATTATTATTATTATTGCTGCACAATATATGGTTTCAGCATTAATATCGCAATGTGTGTGTCCACAATAGACACATCGCAGGATGTGCAAGTTGGGATTATAGTTAATCAGCACAACCATTGAGAATGCAATGACTCCACACATCTCATGCAAAGTTTAACCATAACAGATTGAAAATGTCCTGTAACATTTTATGGAAAACCATAAAAGCACATTATTTGAAATATTATTTTTTGTAATTTATAGTAATATTTTTTGCTTGCTATTTGGTTATGTTATATAATATGATTCACACCCTTACAAAATGACACCAATCAATCTAAATTAATAATTTATTTTCAAAGAGCTATTGAGGTCATACTGTGAAACTGACTTCATATCGCAACGTATATTGCAGAAAAACATCGCAATGTCAGATTTTCCCAATATAGTGCAGCAATTGTTGTTGTTTTTGTTTATTTATTTATTATTTTGCCAGAATTTGACCTGTTGTTGTTAGCATTCCTAGGTCAGAGGTCGCACTGTTGTTTGTCTGCCGGTGTGTGTTGTCATTCAGGTGTTTCACTGTACCAGGTATGAACACTGTCAGTGGGCTGCCTGTTGACATCAAGCCTCGTGAGCTTTACCTGCTTATGATAATTGTTATTAATTTAGCAAGATAATTCATTAACCACATATTTGAGTTATGAAGCCCCAGGGATTTATTTATTTATTTTAAACTTGACTCTTAAAAAATAATTAAATAAATAAATAAATAAATGGCGGTACAAATAGTTTTTTTTTTTTTTTAAGTTTCAAAAATTCAAATGCAGCACATAGTTGTTACTATTATTATTATTATTATTATTATTATTATTATTGTTGTTGTTGTTGTTGTTGTTGTTATTGTTGTTGTTGTTTGTAATGTTGCTGTAAATTTAGCTTTTTAATTGGGACAATGATTGAATTAATTTAAATTGCTAATGGTATTGAACTCAGAGATCGAATGATTGATTATTCTTTGCACAGAGTAGGAATTAGAAAATGATGCTGTTATTACTGGTCCAGAAGGTTGTACTTCACAGAGAATCCACATCAAAAATAATGAGAGGGAACACAGGAAAATAGTCTAGACAGTTTTGTAATGTTACAATGTGAACAGGGGTGAAGAGGGATGTTTTGTATTAAGCCATTTGAAGTCTTGTCTTTCAGTTCTGTGGTCAAATCTGAACTGGATGCAAAAAAATATTTGATTTGAGAATGTGATGGCCAGAATCTTTTTGTATTTTTTTTTTCTTTTCTTTTTTTCTTTTGTCTTTTTTTTATTCCTCTCTTTCTTCTCCTTTCTTTTCTTAAAGTTTGCAAGTTTTAACTTCGAAATGACGTCATGGAGCTTTTCTGTACTTTTTTTTTTTGTGTGTTTGTGTATGCACAGCTAGTGTTTTTCAGCCAGTGATAAAGCTTTTGTGAAAGATTAATGTGGCTTTTTCAATTTTTTTCAATTCAAATACGGTTCGTTTTACAGCGTCAATGTTGTAATGTATTCAAATACAATCAGTTAAACCATTTAGTTGTAAACGAGATGAAAGGCAAGCGCCGTCAGTAGCATCAGACTACTGCAGAAACTCCATTGAAAATACTGTAGTAAAATACATTTCCATATGTTAAAGCCATGTAGTAAAATAGTGGAACTGAATGCGGTGCTTGTTGTCTGACACCCGCTTTATATCAGACATTCATCAGACAGTAAAGATCACCAAATTTTATTTATTTTTTTTTTTAAGAAATCAGATCCTAAAGGTGCTGTTTGCAAGCTTTTGACTCTACTAAAGCATAAGAATACCCTAATGTGTTTGCAGATATTTCAGAAACGTGCTGAGTGAACATACTAGTTTATTTAGAAAAAAATGCTGAAATCAGATATTCTGTTTTGAAAATGTTGCGTGTCGGAACGCCTCTTTATCTTTTCCCTCCTTTCATTTCATTTTTATTTTTATTCCCTCTTTCTTATTTCTTTCCTCTCCTATTTGTTTCTTTCTCCTTTCTTCCCTCTTCTCTCATTTCTTTTTCTTTCCTTTTTCTCTTTATCTGCTCATCCTTTTTTTTTTTCTTTTTTTTTTTCAATTTTTTTCTCTCTCTTTGTGTTCTCGTCTTCTATTTTGTCTCCTTTCTTTCTCTCTCGTTTCTTTTTTTTTCTCTTTCTCCTTCCTCTTTTTCCTCTTCTTCTTCTGTTTTTCCTTTCTTCCCTCTTTTCTAATTTTTCTTTTTTCCCCTCTTACAATTTGGTTCCTTTTTTTTCCCTATTTTGTTTCTCCTTTTTCTTTCTTTCCTATATTTTCTTTTACTCCTTTTTTTTCTTTTCTATCTCTCTTTCCTTCTCGTTTCTTTCTTTCTCCTTCCTCTCTTTTCCTCAGTTTTTCCTTTCCTCTTTTTCTAATATTTCATTTTTTTTATTCCCCCTTTCCAATTTTTTTTTATTTTTTCTTTCCTATATTGTTTTTTTTTTTTTTTGTCGGTCTCTTTCTGTCTATCTCTTCTGTTCCCCGTAAGTGTCATACATGGCACACTGTCCTTCCTCCAGTCCTTCTCCTCTCCCTCTAGAACAGTGTAAAGTGTCTACATTTGTTTTCAGACAGTGTCCTTCTAGAATCAGTGATGCTTTATTCCATGTGCTAGATAGAATGTGTTCTGAGAATTCCGAGGTTGATTTTCTTCGGTGAGTTTTCTTCATTTGATTGCCCTCTGCTCTCTCTTTCTCCTCTCTCTCGGTTCACAGTAATGACTTTGAATCTGTTAATTTAAGTTAATTGATAATCTTCTACCTTCCACTCACAATGGAGCAGTTGCGCGCACACACACCTGATCACCATGCACACACACTTCTGCTCACGAAACTAACACGATAGCAAATTCTGCAGACACTCCAGAAGATTCTGACACTGTAGCAAAGAGAATCACAGGTAGATTGTTCTTTTCCTCTTCAGGTGTTTAAGAGCATACAGTACAGCACTCATAGGTCAGAGGTCGCACTGTTGCCTGTCTGCCGGTGTGTGTTGTCATTCAGGTGTTTCCCTGTTCCAGGTACGAACACTCTTTGTCAGCGGGCTGCCTGTTGACATCAAGCCTCGCGAGCTTTACCTGCTGTTCAGACCCTTCAAGGTGAGACATGTCAGTGCTTTTTCTGATTTATTCAGAATTTTCTTCTAGTTAATTCTAAATATGTTTTTTTTTTTTTTTTATCAAACAGGGATATGAAGGATCTCTCATAAAACTGACCTCGAAACAGGTAAAGTTATGAGATTGTTGTTATAAAAAAGCTCCCATATTAAGCTAAAAACAGTAAATGTGTATTTAATCTAGTCTTGTATTCTTTATGTAATTGTGCAATTTTAAAATGTGTATTGTGTGTCATTAAGAAAATATTAGTAATTTTTATGACTGGAAAAACGGGTTTTATATTTTGTGAATATAATTTTGATAATTGAAAATGAATCTACAAAATAACAATAATAATAATAATAATAATTTTATAATTAATATATAATATATATTTTTAAATATAAATTTATAGATACTTTTCTCGTGGTGACCGTTATGAGGTGATGACTATTTTTAATAATAATAATAATAATAATTGATCAATAATAATAATAATAATAATAATAATAATAATATTGTTGCCTCACAGCAAGAAGGTTGCTGGTTCGAGTCCCGGCTGGGTCAATTGGCATTTCTGTGTGGAGTTTGCATGTTCTTCCTGTGTTTGTGTGGGTTTCCTCCGGGTGCTCTGGTTTCTCTGGTGAATTGACTAAACTGAATTGGCCATAGTGTATCAGTGTGAATGCAAAAGTGTATGGCGGTTTCCCAGTACTGGGTTGCAGCTGGAAGGGCATACACTGTGTAAAATATATGCTGAAGTTGGTGGGTCATTAAATTAATTTAATAATAATAATAATAATAGTAACCATTATTGTTGCTCTCATACGAATTGTCTATTTAATGATTTATGTTTAAAATTTTACAAAGTTGTACTTGTATAAGCACAATTAAAATGTGTATATAGTGTCATTAAGAAAATATTAGTAATTTTATGACTGTGCTTAACCCTTTACCGCACGCATTGATAAACCTGTAAAAAAAAAAATATATATATATATATATATATATATAAAAAAAATATATATATATATATAATATATGACTTTTTTTTTCTTTCCTTTTCTTAAAATGGCATAACTTGAAGTGCTGAATTTTTATTTTTTAAAGGCACTTTATGAAATGTTGCCATATGGCAACAACGTCCAACATTTAGATCTACCTGAGAAATTTCAAATTTAAAACTTTCCTTATAATATTTTTTTTTGTTTGAAATAATTTTGTTGTTGTTGTAGTATGAAAAACGGGTATTACATTTTGTAAATATAATTTTAGAATTGAAAATGACTTCAAGAGTTAAATTTTTTTTGGTTATTAATATAAATTTATAGATGCTCATCTCTGTGACCGCTATGAGATTTTATGGTAAAACAATATTAATATTGATGATAATAATAATAATAATAATAATAATAGTAGTGATGATTATGATAATGATAATAATATTCATGAGTGGGTGACTTCGTGGCTCAGTGGTTAGCACTGTCGCCTAAGATGTGTGTGTGAGAGAACGCAATGTATGGGTGTTTCCCAGTACTGGGTTGCAGCTGGAAAGGTATCCATTGTGTAAAACATGCTGGATAAGTTGGCGGTTCATTCCACTGTGGCAAACCCTGATGAATAAAGGCACTAAGGCAAAGAAAAATTAATAATAAAGACCTCATTATTAATATTATTATTATTATTGCTCCTATATAAATTATTTTATTTAATGACGTAGTGTTGGGTATATTTCAAATTTTACTAAGTGTGCTTGTATAATAAGCACAATTAAAATGTGTACATAATGTCATTAAGAAACTATTCAAATTAACAAATGTTTAGAGTCATTTATTTTAGGACAAGTGTGCTTTAATTCTTTTGAAAAAACAGTTGGCAATTGATATTGATGTATTAATGTAAACATTAAAAAAAGTTAAACTGAAGGATTATTATTTTAATATAAAATTTTAAACTTTTTTTTTCTTTTTTCTCATGATGACAGATTGTTTCTCCAACAGTTGTCTAGAGGTTTACCTTTTAAATGTCTTTATTTTGATCACATTAAATGTACTATATTACTGTTTGGACTGTGAGAATTGAGCATTCTCTTCCCTCCCAAATGAGACTAATATAAATAACGCAACTGTCTATTTTTTTTTCTTTTTTCCCCCGTTCTCTAGCCTGTGGGGTTTGTCACGTTTGACAGTCGGTCTGGTGCTGAAGCGGCCAAGAATGCGTTAAATGTAAGTAACCGCTGAGCCGTCAGTAAGCTGAAGTGATGGCAACTTTCAATAATTTATTAGTCTGTCTGAGCTTTATGTCCTCCAAAACTTCGCTTTTAAGAGTCAGTCTGGAAGTTTCAACTTCGAAATGACGTCATGGAGTTTTTCTGTACTTTTTTTTTGTGTGTGTTGGTATAACACAGCTAGTGTTTTTCAGCCAACGATAAAGCTTTTGTGAAAGATTAATGTGGCTTTTTTCAATTTCATACGGTTCCTTTTACAGCGTCAATGTTGTAATGTATTCAAATACAATCAGTTCAACCATTTAGTTGTAAACAAGATGAAAGGCATGTAGAAGCGCTGTCAGTAGCAGCAGACTAAAACTCCAAAATACTGTGAATACTGAAAAAACTGGTAAAATGCATTTCCATGTTAAAGCCATGTAGTAAAATAATGGAACTGAATGCAGTGGTGCTTGTCCGGTCTGACACCCACTTTATATCAGACATCCATCAGAGAGCAAAGATCACAGATTTTTGAAGAAATCAGATCTTAAAGGGGCTGTATGTAAGCATTTGACTCTACTAAAGCATAAGAATATCAATGTTTGCAGATATTTCAGAAACATATTGAGTGAACATTCTAGCTTATTTGGAAAACAATGCTGAAGTCAGATATTCTGCTTTGAAAATGTGTTGCGTGTCAGAACGGCTCTTTGTTTTGGTTCTTCTAACGCGCCCAATGCCTGTTTAGCCAATTATATTTCAGCACCCCGGGTTGCCTTGCTGGAGAACCACGCATTTCATTCAATCATTCTAAAAGGCTCTCAAACTGTGCATCTGTGACCGAAATACAACTAAAACAGCAGCCTCCGAAATGAGACGCAGATTCAGGGTTCCACATGAGGTTATTAATGTTTACGCTCATTTATATTATTTGCTCCGTAAGTGAGCAGCTTACATTGTAACCCTGTGTACTAACCAGTGGTGGGAGTAACGAATTACAACTACTCACGTTACTGTAATTAAGTACATTTTTAGTGTAATTGTACTTTCATGAGTAGAATTTTAAGCCTGTAATTTTACTTGTACTTGAGTACAAATTAAGCTGAGTAATCTACTTTGTTACTTTTAAAATCACAATTCGTTACAGAGTACTGTAAATAAATTAATATTTCAGCCACGCACTGACCAGCATTTCGGTAGCCAATAAAAAAAGCTGATCTTAACGGACCAATGAAAAGCCTGGTACATTATTTGAACCGAAAAACAAGTTCAGGCTACTGCAGATTTACGTGACCGTCATCATACAGTCACAAAGTTATCAATTGACATATGGAGATTTATGACAGAAGAAATGAGGAAGAAATAGCAGAGGATGAATGCATGGCCACACCCGGAGGAGCTGTTCACCTACAGGTATATAGGGAAGAAAGGGGATAGATGCGCTGATGTGAATAGCTATGTTATCATCTAAAATGCTAATTAAATGTATGCTCAACTGGAATATCGCATAAAAGACTGCAAATAAAGCAGCTTTTCTGTCCATCAAGTCAAAGAGAACAAAATTGCCACCTTCTGATTAACTGGCGACAAATATCAAAAGTAAAAACAGAATTTGCATCAGTAGGAGCAGCTGCATGAATAAATTATCTTCATTTAATAAGTGACTTGCGCATCAGAAGGCAATTCTGCACGCAGTGAACGCGCGCTGGCGTTTGAAGGCGCGAGACACTGAGTGCAGAAACTCTTGACAATTCTGGAGCTCATTATTAATATAATATAATACTGAAATGGTTGAGGCGGTTTAGAATGACCAAAACAACACTTTAGATGTTTTACAATGTGCTTAGCCTGCTGGTTTGTCCATTCACACACATTTTCAAAATATATGCGCATTATAGCGTTTCCATCAACTGTTTTTATGTGCATATCCAAAAAGCGCAAAAAATAAGTGGATGAAACCTGCCCTCTGCTGTGCCATCCGGCTTACACAGGGTTTCCGTGGGGTCTTACAATGTCTAAAATATAAACATCTAAATTTTAGGTCTTAAAGTCTTAAACTCGCTGTTCTAGGTCTGAAATATGTTTGCACAGGTCTTATTTTTCCGATGTATGTATCGCTACTCCTAATGCTCATTTAAATTATTTTTTTGTTGTTGCTTGGTTTCGTGGTGGTGTAGTTCTTTATTTCACTAGTCCTATTGTGATTTGCAGTATTAAAACTACAAATAATACCAGCATGCAAAAGCTCAGTGCGCGCGGCGAATGTGACGTCATCGCCGTGTTTGCGGAGGTTCACTTTGGATGCGCGCGACATGATTTCGGGTGAACAGTTCGCGCGGCGCCGCGCTTGATTTGAGATGAATTTGAATCGCTTTGAAGAGATTTTGTCTGTAACAGTACGACTGTACAGACATCTTAACTATCCGACTAGGCGTGATCAGCATAGAGATAACCAGATGACCAATAATTCTTGGCTAGAAATTGCAACAGCCATGGAAAGGAAGTGTTTTGTTAAAGTTTGGAAAATCCTGGGGGATAAGTTTGTTACAACAAAAAAGAGGCCATGGCAAAAGTGGAGACCCAGGTGGTTTTAAGATTACAGAATATGTTTTTCCACCATTTATAGGTTTTACACTGATGTATCATTTTGAAGTTAAAGCAATGTAACAAAAATTAAGTAACAAATTAAGTATTTAATAACTGAACAATAATATATGAACCCATCGACTTACAGTAAACTGATGCCCAATTTCTAGGCTTTATTGGTGTTGATGGACAGGATTGTTGGACCATTATTGCCTTTTCAGCTCATTAGTAGTGGACAGAAACTAGCCAGACAATAATGTGTCAATTGTTGAGTGGGCAAAAAATGTTTTTTTTTTTTCCTATTATTCTTGCCAGAATAAAAAAAATAATTGTAGAGTAACCCATGTTCTGTTGTCATTGATATTTAACTTTAATAGGTAGAACTGCGACATATAAACAAAAGTGAGTGATGCATCAAACTTTGATTTAAAAAATCTTGAATAGTTATAAAACTTTATAATCATTAATTTTCTTTTTGGCTTAGTTCCTTTATTAATCTGGGGTCGCCAGATTAACAAAGTTTCTCCATAATTTGCAAGTGTTTTTTTTAATTTATTAAATCATCTATTGATCGTACAGATAGAAAGGCATCATTTGAAATGATAAAAAGTGGTGCATTTGTGCATATTTCTGTTATCTTTATACTCAAAATAGCAAAACATTGTTTTTGTAAAATAATCATGGTGCGCAGTGGGTATTGGTATCGCCTCAAAGCAAAAAGTTTGTTGGTTCAAGCCCTGGCTGAGTCAGTTGGTGTTTCTGTGTGGAGCTTGCATGTTCTCCCCATGTTGGCGTGGGTTTCCTCTATAGGTGCTCTATAATTATAATCTATAATTAATGCTGTTTACCCAGTTTTAAAAGTGTTTATAGTATCTTTAGATGTGTTATGTAAAATGTGTTTTACTGCCTGAATCTTGTCTGACTCCGCATTCATGGATAATTCCACCAAAATCGCCAAGCTAAAAAAGTAATTTGTAATTTTGTAATTTGAGTAGTTTTTACGATGAGTAATTTGTACTTTTACTTGAGTACTTTTTAACACCAGTACTTTTACTTGTAATTGAGTACAATTTCAGCAATGTAACAGTACTTGTAATTGAGTACAATTTTTTTGTACTCTTACCAACACTGGTACTAACATCATGCTATGTGATGAGATTTGCAGTGATATGCAATTTGACTGTTTGCACCAGACAAAACACGACAGAAATGTAACTACAGCCATTCAGAAGCACAGAATAGCGCACTCGCTGCACTCCAACGAAATGGTTAGGTTTAAGCCACACTGGGCTATTTTTTAAAATGTCTAATGTTTAATCCCGCCCCTTTTTACAGTGCCGTACTACAGATATTCACATGCTGAAACTCTGAAGTGACCGTGGCATTATAATCTAATTGCATATTAAACCTCTTTAACATTATTAAATGTAGATGCTGAATCACTGTTATGTGCCTCTCTGGATATCACACTAACTGTACCCCAAAAAAAAAAAATTACTAATACTTTCCTTCTTAGACTTTACAGACCTGAAACTTGCCTATAGCACTTATTCATTGTTGCTCTTATAGTTGTGTAAATTGCTTCCTTGTCCTCATTTGTAAGTCGCTTTGGATAAAAGCGTCTGCTAAATGTAAATGTAAATGTTTGGAGTCTCAGTTCTAAAGTTTAATTTCAGATGGTTTATTTTATTTTCAAGATCTGAGGTGAACTATCTGCTGCTGCTTTCAGTGATATGGCAATAAATGTCATGTAAAATGCCATTCACACTTGCATTATAGACATTTAACACTAAAAGCACTTGAGCTGTGATCTTTGTCAGTTTTCTGTTCAGCTGCAAGTAGCCGAAGCCATTTCTAATAAATCAATTCAAGGTGTTGAAGGGATATTTTCCATATTAAAATGAATTTTTGTTCTATCGTGTGCTGTTGCTTTTTATTTAGAACGTGATTTAAATCAGACTTCAGGCTCTATTTTCAGACTAGATCGATCCTGTTGGTCCTCAATCTGGCAACCTGCGTTTGTTTTGAGCCAAGAATGCAATACCTAGTCCAACCACTAAGTGTCAAACTTACTGCACCTTTAAACGTGACTATTTTGTAATGGTGCAACAGTTTACCATAATGTAACCCTCCCAAAAAGGGCATAAAGTATTCACACACAACACAAGTTCTTTGCTGGACAAAATACAGTATTTATTTTGGGCCACAATAATCAAGTAAACGTCAAACACTCAATTTAAATACTAGTTTCACTTTATTTTATACAATAATCTTAAAGATTAAAATTCCACACAAGGGGAGCAGCAGGTAGGGAATCAAAAGGACACAGTTCATGATGTAAAGATTGTTAGCGGACTGCATAAAAATGATTAGGTAAGGCAATTAAAATGACCACCACAAGGCATTTAACAAGGGGTATCAACTGTAATTGTGCAACATCATCATTTCACATCAACCCAGAGTTGTAATACACCACACAGTAAATCTCATAAATATAAATGTATAAATAACACCCATAAATAGACTCCACACAGCAATCAAATCATAAGCTACCATCAATACCACTCCAGCTAAATATCAAGCCGTCGTCATTTAACATTTCCTGTATGGAGCGTGATGCTAGCCTGCGCTCATCCCCGTCGCACGCACACACACACACACACACACACACACACACACAGACAGACAGACAGACTACAAGCGCCGGGAGCAATCAAACTCACTCAAACTCCCGGCGAACAAAATGCAATACACACACCCCGCAACAGTATAACTGTGCTGCTGGCCCGCTTACCCGCTACCGGACGTGGGATACAGCGATTGGAAGTCAACAGCGGCCGCCGAAACTTTAGTCCAGGGAAACCCCAGCACTACCAATTATCCCTCCCAGTCATTCGCACGCGCAAATGACGCCAGTACGCATCATTTTGGTTTGGGAAGCACCGCTTACAATAAGCAGCTTGGGCTGGCTTAGTGTCCAATAAAAGTCTGTGTGCATATACCCCAATGACCTTCAGAGCAACAGACCAATCCTATAAAGTATAATTTGACTGTATTTTTGCTTTCAGGGCATCCGCTTTGACCCAGAGAGTCCTCAAACGCTGCGTCTGGAGTTTGCTAAAGCCAACACGAAGATGGCGAAGAGTAAACTGATGGCCACGCCGAACCCTTCCAACCTGCACCCTGCTCTCGGTGCGCACTTCATCGCTCGAGACCCATGTGAGTCAAACCACCGAGCAGAACGACACTCTGAGGCTCGGTCCACACGAACATTTGTTTTCGTGTGGACAAACGGTAAAACCGAGTGTTGGGTGATTGAAAACAAAGCTTTCTGAAAACTCTGGCCAGGGTGAATATTTTCCTAAACTACAGGTTCAGTGTGGACACTACACTAGAGTTTTTGCCTCATGACATCAGCATGTGTGCTGTTTTTCTCATTTCTGATTGGCCAGCACATCTGGGTTCACACTAAATGCAGTAAACGCAAATGAGGCCAAATTTTACACATTTGCAGCAAATGCACTGCAGATTTCACCTTTGGGACTGTTATCCACCTCTTTTCTCACGTTTGCTTTGATTTATATGCAATTTACCCATACAAATACCCAATTCCATATTTGGTGTGAACTCCGCACAAGTGTCAGTATTGCCACCTGTTGGTTTGGAGTGCCCTTAACATGCATTACAAAAAATCTGTCTAGATAAAAATGCAAAGTGGGGACATCTGCTTATAGAAATACTTGTATATGTGTGGACATGGCCTGAGTTTATTAAGGGTGCATTTAATCGATAATGTACTTTTAAAATGATCCCTGTGTATATGAATCCACAAAAGCTAAACTAATTAGCCAGGCCAGTAGGTGGCTGTCACTTTGTAGCAGTAAAAAAAAAAAAAAACTTATGCATCTGCAAAAATATATACACTAGATATTGCATAGGGACCCTGAGCATGCGTCAATAGCGCCGCCACATTGGTACAGTGCTCCCAGGACAAATGCCATTCAACTGCACTAGTCAAGACGGTGTTATAATGGTGGCTCAATTGACTCATTCCTTCCAATAGACAACAGGGTAGGCGACATCTAATATATATATTATCCATGATGCATCTGTATACTTAAAGTCCTGTAGTTCGTCATAGACCCTTTACACAATGATGCCACTTGCCCTTATCGGCTCCACAGTGTATTTTTAGTTCTGGTTTACCTATTGAATGAATGGGATACTTAACTGGAAAATTTCTAAATTATTAAATTAATTATGCGCATTCTAATATAGGACTGTTACACTATTGTGCATGTGTTCAAATGTTTCTTTCAATACTTGATGCTTTAAGTTATTAAGAATTGGAATAAGATATTGTTCATCAAGGAAAGTTTGTTTGCAATCTTTTCACTTATTAATTCAGTTCATTTCCTCAATGGATTTATTTATACTTTGCTGCTAAAAATAAATTTAAATGATCTGTTATGTTAATGTTCCAGCATGAGTCATTCTTTATATTACCCTGTTAGTATGTATATAAATGCAATGAGTTTCATCACTTATTGATCCATTAATTTTCTGTTCAGTTTCTTTATTTGAATGAATTAAGACAGTGTCCTCCCGCCACCTACTGGGTGGACTTTATTTATATTAGTACTAGCTTTTAATTAATAATGTCACAAATTCATAAAGGGTCTTGTTTTTGAACGTCTTAAGTTAAGATATGTTTGTTGGTGAGATCACGCAGCTTTTTATTGAAATGTAATTTTTTAATTGTATAAACCTAAAAAAAAACAAAAAAAAAACAAAGCGAGCATTAGTTTTCTGTGAATGTCAGTCTATCTTCATGTTATGCACAAATTTGTTGTGTAAAGATGTCCTGTCACTAAAGTCCGAAAAATAGATTAAACTTAATAGGCATATGATGCATTTGAACCTTAAGCTTGTTTACACTGTATCATTCACACTTCTTACCAGCATTTCTAAAAGTTTTTCGATATTCATGTACTTTTATTTGTTTTTTTTTTATTTAAGTTTTGTTTTATTTAACTTTTTTGTTTATTTACTATATATATATATATATATATATATATATATATATATATATATTTTTTTTTTTTAATTTATATTTAGTTTTTTAATTTATATTTATTGTATTTATCATTATTTATATATTTTTAAATGTATTTATTTATATTTAATTTATATTTATTTTATTGAACTTTTTCATTATTTATTTATTTGAATCTTTAGTATTTATATATATAATAAATATTTTAGTTTTATTTTATAGAATGTAATTTTATTTCCTTCAAAGCAGTCTTCTGACTCGTGTCCATTATCTGCATCCTCACCCTGTGAGTGTCAAATGCATTTACTGCTGTTTTGTGTGTGTGATTGATCAGATGATCTGACGGGGGCAGCACTGATCCCTGCGTCTCCTGAAGCGTGGGCTCCGTATCCGCTCTACACCACTGAACTGACCCCAGGCCTGCCTCACGCCGCCTTCACCTATCCCGCTGCTGCTGCTGCCGCCGCTGCTCTGCACGCCCAGGTGAGGGACCCGCCGGTGTGTGCACCTTTTATTTACACTTTCTTCAATCACTCGCTCTCTGCTGCTTTCTGTCCACGGTGATTTTTAAAGCCCAGTGAGAAAAAAAAAAGACTTCTGCTAGTTTGACACTGCAGGTCGCTGTCAGTGGAACTAAAGATCAGACTGCTGTTTTTGTAGCACTAAAAGGCTGTGCTGTCACAGTATAAACTTACTATATTCAATATAAACAACTTTTATGTTTCATAATGTGTCCCCCCCTGCTTTGCTTGTATTAAGAGTAAGGCCACGTGTGTGTGTACATAGTTTTAATTTCATTTTATTTACTTTTTTTTTTTTCTTGTAATTTCCTTGTTATAAATTTTATTTAATCCTATATTTTCGTTTTAAACCTTTCACCTGGTGTATTTTGAATTTCAATTTATGGTTTTGGATGAAGCCAAAGTAGTTGTGCATAGTTAAGTTGTACATTACATTTTATTTAAAGGTGCAGTAGGGGATCTGCCAAAGTGATAAATGGTTGGCATAATTTGAGCCAGTCCCACCCCTGCTGTCCAAAGCCACGCCTCCTGATATCATGAGCACGTTCATTAAAGATGACTGTAGACAACCCACTAGATCAATGTCATTTGCCAGTCTTCAAGCTTTATAGTACTTAATAATACCACTATTCCCAATGAAAAGCTGTATTATATCTAGCAAAGTTTCAGTTGTGTTGCAAGCAAAACTTGTCAGTGTCAATACTTTATGCATGCAAGGATCACCGGTCTCACTATCTAATGCGCATTGTCCTAAAGCGACTACTGAAGTGGTTGGCTGGCGGCGTGCAGGAATTACACTTATTACTGAGCCATACTTGCTACTCTGAATATTCACTCTGAAACAGCATGCATGATAAACAATATAGGGAGCGCATCACAGGTTATCAATGTTCAAATTAAAGCATATTAAATATAAAAAATATTGAATATTAAAGCAGCTTCAGCTCAGTAAAGTAGGCGAGATGAGTATTGCTTTTTACTAAAGCATTGTTGTCAAACTCAATATAAAATCATCAGTCACATCGATCTTTCACTAGATTTTAGTGACTGAACAACACTTCTGTGCATATAGCCCATTCATAAAACAACACAATCTTCATCAGCTGACTAAAATAGTTTTAAAACAGAACATTACCTGTCTAACAAATACTTCAGCCAATGAGCTTGGAGTGACCCAGCAGCAGCCCTGGATTCCGCCATTTTGTAGTGAAAGCGATCGGCCGTCCATTGGATCCTATTGCTGTCGTGATGGCAAGCAGCTGCTTAGTTTTTAATTTATTAATTTAAAAAGTGCATTAAAGCTGAGATATAACCTGAAAGACATCAATACAACACTATCACAATCATCAGCACTTTTAATAGTTTATTTTACAGACTTAAAAATATGCTGTTATACATGTTAATACATTTAGATTATTTACTTTAATCAGTACTATTCGAATGTGTATTGACTTAACCAGCACAACAAAAACGTTTCTAAAAACAATCACCGACTGAATTTTTTTGCAATTTTATTTATTTTTTTTTTTTTGCCTTTTTCTAATTAAATTTTTTTTAATTATTGTACTTTTTTTTTTATTTTATTCATTTATTATCTTTATATTGTACACATTTCAGCTTGTTTGTGAAATTGGAATTCAATATAGTCAGTACTTATTTATTATTATTATTATTATTATTATTATTATTATTATTATTATTATTATTATTATTATTATTCATTCATTTTCTTTTCGGTTTAGTCTCTTTATTAATCTGGGGTTGCCACAGCGAAATGAACCGCCAACTTATCCAGCATGTTTTTACGCAGCGGATGCCCTTTCAGCCACAATCCATTACTAAGAAACATCCATACACTCATTTACACACACTATGGACAATTTAGCCTACCCAAGTCACCTGTACCCCATGTCTTTGAACTTTTGGGGGAAACCGGAGCACCCGGAGGGAGAACATGCAAACTCCACACAGAAACATCAACTGACCCAGCCAAGGCTCGAACCAGCGACCTTCCTGCTGTGAGGCGAACAAGCTACCCACTGCACCACCGTGCAGCCCTAATTATAATAATAATAATAACAATAATAATAATAATAATTATTATTATTATTATTATTATTATTATTATTGTTAATCTATTTTTACTTTTTTTTTTCTTTTTTCTTTTTTTTCCCATTTCTGCTAATGAATCAGGAAAAGTGCATAAATGTGGAGAAGTTCAACGCATTGTTGGATTTATTCTGCACCTTCATGCTTTGTTGCAATTTCCTGCTATGCATTAGGGCCAGGGCTTAATTTGTGCCAGAACACGACGGATCCGGCACCTCTGTAATCTGATCTGGCACCTCATTTTACCGACCTCCCCCGTCTGCAGTTCACTTTTACTTTCACTTCTACGACTCCCCAACCCTCTTCACTTTCGTCCGCAACACCCCTCCGCCATCCAACAACCCCACCCTGCTGCTTTAAAAGCGTTAATGGGCAAATTAATAGCAAAGAACAACAGCACGTCAGTAATATGGGAATATTTTGGTTTCAAAGTCAGACACCAAACAAAACCAGGTAATTTGTAAGAGCTGTCGCAGAATTAATGCCAGGATGAGGAATTGCAACAACCAGCACCTTAAAAAAAAAAATAAATAAAAAAAGCACCACAGATGGCTAAACGAGTGTGATTTGAGCTGAAGCCTAACTAAATGAATATCTGTCAAATCGCAATTAGATATTTTCCCCAAATCGCACCGCTCTACTGTGCATGCTATATACTGTAGCATAAGAGAACCACTTTTAACATGACCCTTATTTCATGAGCATGTTGTTCAGTCGGCTGACTTTCCCATAATTCCCCAGTCACATGCTTTGCTGGAAAGTGACCTCAGGTCAACATGACGCAGCAAAACCAGAGCGAGTGTCAGAGGTCCAATCTGAACATGACAGACCCGATTACCCACAATCCTTCGCAACGGCATTCCTTGGCCTGCTAGTGTTGCTAAGAGATCACATCAGAGCAAAGCTGCTTTTAATTGCGTCTCAGGTTGGATTATGACTCTGCCGTTGAGTGAATCTGTGCCCGGTTAAAGTTTAGCCAAAAAATTTATACTTTTTATGATCCATTAAAAGCAGCATGTTAAAACACTCCCTCTTCACTTTCAAAGAGGTCGTGAAGCACCTTGTTTATTTTTGTACTTTTCCTCTGAGGTCCACTTTTAGCATTAGGACCTTTCCTATTAAATTTAGAGTAAATGGGTTATTTTCTGATTGTTTTGACCCGCTCAATAACACGCACACAGTTAGAACAGGCATGGATTGTAGACTCAAAGTAAACACCCAGAGCTGTGATTGGCTGGCATTTTGCTTATTTAAACAGTTTCAGTGCTTTGTTTCTAAGATTAGGTGCTGAAATTGGACAGGATCGCTACAATATGTCCATGGGTGTAAACCTCTGCCTGTGTGTTTTAAAAAATGGTCTAATAATGTTGTCAATGAGAAATGGCAACTTTAGAATCATGAGTATTTGTATTCACTTTACTGTGCCAGGACTAATTTATCATTATCGTGAATGACCAGGACAGATTTAAAGTCTGCTTAAGTCCACCGTTCCAAGTCTATACAACATCTGGCATTTTACCAACAGTAGACCTACACATATCGGCCTAATGTTATTACTGTTGTTTTACCATAAGTCAGAGAATTAATAATAATAGTCTACTCGCAACCTTTATTTTACATCTACAGAGTCGTGAGAACATCGTGATTCTCATTTTGGCCAGAATCGTGCAGCTCAAGCCTCTCGTCAAAAGAATAAAGAATTATCATCATCTATCATCTCTTTGTTCATGAGCCCTTTTAATTGCTCACCTGGTAACAGTTGTGTTTGATGCAGCTTGCATGTTTATTGACGTGATTGGTTTTGAAGGCTTCGTTGGCAGATCGGGTTTATGGATTGGTTGGCTAGACTTTGTGGTTGTCGAGGCAACCCAGTGAGATCTAAAGGTCGCACTGGGTTTTACTTGATGTCTTGAACCGCACCATATGTTCACTGGTTCCTCGAGGCTGAATAAGAGATTTGTCATTTCAGTAGTTTGTTTTAAGGTTCTATTTTTTTCAGTGGGGGTTGGAATAAAGGATCTAATGAGTTGTGTAGCTTAAAGGTGGTTCTTTTTAGGCAAGAGTGTATGTGATGCATTTTGTTTTCAGACCAAGGTCACAGTCTTCAGAAAGCTGAACATGTCATTTTCTACACTTAATTTGTATATATTTTTTAATGATTATATTTGTTATTAATATCAATTCATTTTCATTATTTTTGGAATTGATTTTGTATTATTATTATTATTATTATTATTATTATTGTTGTTATTTTGAATTTTACTTGTTGATTTATTATTATTATTATTATTTGTTGTTGTTGTTTTGAATTATTTCACTTGTTATTGTTATAATTATTATTTGTTTTTATTATTTTAAAATGTTAGTTTGTTGTTGTTTATATTAGATTTTTTTACATTGTTGCTTTTTATTTGAGTTTTCTGTTGTTTGTTTGTTTTTACTAATTTGAATTTTCATTTTATCTTATTTTTTTAGTGTAGAGTTTTCATTTGTTTTATTGCTTTTCTTATTGTTTTAAATGAATTTTATATTTATTATTATTATTATTATTATTATTATTATTATTTACATTTGTATTAATTTATTTGTTACTTTTTTATATATATTGTTAATTAGAATTTAATTATTAGAATTGTTCATTTTGATTTTTTTTTTTTTTTTTTTTTTTATTTTCATTTTTTTACTGTTATTTTTTTCATTAATGCAGTTAATGAATAATATATCGAATGCCATTTACAGTATTTACAATATTTAGTCTGAATAAATGTAAAACTGTGCAACAGGTTAAGGGAATAATTTGTACAATTATTTATAAAATAGTTTTGTAATTTGGAAAAATTCTTAGATTTAATGGTATGCATGTTTAATAAAGTTAATCCCCTTGTGTGGAATGAAAAGCAACTCTTGCAGTGAGCTGACAAATTCCAGCATTACTTAACTCCAGGAAAACAGAAGTGGAATTCCTCTGGCATGTTTTTGGAGTAACCGGTATGACGCAGCCATAAGTCTGCAGTAAAACGTCTGGTAGAAACGTGCACTCGAGTTTGTCTTCCTCCGCTTCCCAGCATGCACCTGGCAGAGGGAGATCTGAGGGCGGGGCCTGAGCGGACGTGCCAGGCTGATTGTTTGCCCTGGGCTGTGGAAGTGGCTGTTTTGGCGTGGTTTAGTGGAGGCCGGACGGGAGACAAGAGTTAATGTCATCTTGCTGAAAGATGTTTATAGATGCGCTGATAAGAGTTTCCTGCTGGCGTCTGGTCATTAGCTCAGCTCGCATTGCTTCACTGTGGAGCATGCAGTAGAAATGCATCTTTCTGCTCCAGTTTTCACCACTGCACTTTTAGTTTTTTAGACTTGGAAAAATAATTGAAACCTGCCACCCTACTTTTTTGATTTTTAGTTCTGGGAATCAGTAGAGATGCTATAAATGTAGCAGATTTTAGTTATTTGTTTGTATTTATACACTATTTTATGTGTGAACTTTTATTTCTTTTATTTAAAAAAAAAAAAAAAATATATATATATATATATTGAAAGTGGGAGTATGCGGTAATGTAAAAAGATGATTGATTGATGATGATGATGATGATTATTTATTATTATTACTATTACTATTATATAATTTTTAAAAAATGGTGTTGTGATCATTGTTAATAATAATAATTATAATAAAATTACCACTAATAATAAATAGTTGTTTTTATATTTATTGCATAATTTAAAAAAAAATTGGGGTTTAATAATAATAATAGTAATAATAATAATAATAATTTACCACTACTAATAAACAATATTATTGGTGTTGTTGTTGTTGTTGTTGTTGTTGTTGTTGTTGTTTATTATTATTATATAATTTTTAAAAATTGTTGTTGTTGTTGTTGTTGTTGTTGTTGTTGATAATATTATAATTATCAATAATAATAATAATAATAATAATGCCACTAATAATAAATGTTGTTATATAATTAACAATGTTGTGATCATTGCTAATAATAAAAATTACCACAATAATAATAATAATAATATAATTGGTGGTGGTGTTGTAGTAATTTTATATTTGTTTATTTAATTTATTATTATTATTATTATTATTATTATTATTATTATTATTATTATTATCATTATTATTATTATTATTATTATTATCATCTATCACTAATTTTTAATTTAATTGTAACAGTAGTAATTAATAATAATTTTCATAATAATAATAATAATAATAATAATAATTGTTGTTACTATTACTACAACAATCACAATTTTTTTTTATTAATCGTATAACAGTATTAATAATAATAATAATAATAGGTTTTGGTTGGTGGTGATTTTTTTTTTTTTTTTTTTTTTTTTTTTTTTTTTTATTACTACTGCTACTACTACGGTTTTATGATTAATTGTAAAAAATATGATCAGTTGTATTGATGATGATAATAATAATAATAATAATAATAATAATAATTTGTTTTTTTATTATTATTATTAGTAGTAGTAGTAGTAGTAGTAGTAGTAGTAGTAGTATAAATACTGTTACATAATTGTAAAGTTGATCGATGTTGTAATAATTGGTGGTAAAATTATTATTATTATTAGTAGTAGTAGTAGTTGTTGTAGTAATTTTATACTTGTTTATTTGAAATTATTATTATTACTACTACTACAACATTGACCACAACATTTTTTTTTTTTTGTTTTTTTTCTATATTTGTTTATAGGCCTCTTTGGGTATTTAAATGTATGGATGCAGCTTATATATTGTGTAAATAAGTAGGGTAAATGTAGGAGTAATACGTTTCATACTAATAATAAATTCTAGCTCAATTTCAATTTATAATGCTTTTATAAAACCATAATCTTAGATAATATCTGCAATATATCACATCTAATTGATTTGTCTTTTCTCTTCCCTGTAGATGCGCTGGTATCCGTCTCCCTCTGAAAGTTCTCAGCCGGGATGGAAATCACGTCAGTTCTGTTAAATAATCAGTGAGTATGAGTCATTTTACCTCACCGCTGCTCTTTTAATGAACATGAGCTGATCTTCTTCTCTCCACAGATGCCGACCAGCACCAGATGTTTGGTTCTCCTTTTCTCCCTCCTGTTTGAACGAAGAACAACTGGGCTCAGCGTTTGATTTAATCAGGTTTATTTAACGGACAATCAAAAGCATGAAGGATTATTTTTCTTGAAAGAAGCGGTAGAGATGCTGAGGACTCGCGGTACTGTTTCAAAAACGCGTCTCGCTGCTCTTGTAGATGTACGTTTTCATCGTTCTGCATGCGTAAAGGCATGAGTTTTAAAATGCAAACTACTTGTCTGTTTATTCGCAAGTCCCAGTTTTCTTTCCAGCTTCTCGTTTCTATCATTTGTGAAAGGTGGAGACATGAATTTAGTTGTTTTTTAATCTGACGACATATGCACTGGGTATTTGTTTTTGTTTGTGATCCTGATGCAAGTTTTTCGTCCTTTTTCATGCGTCTTGCCCTGAATTCACCGAACTTCCGCTATCTGTGTCTGCTTTGAGAATATTTGAACAAAAAAAAGAAGAGAAATGTACAAGTGTTTCTGTACATTGTGTAATAATGAGTATTTATGCATTTATTTTTGTTTCGTGCAATTAAATAAGTATATATGTATGAGCAGTTTAGTGTTGCCTTGTTGTTATTTTGTGGTTGTTAATGGTAACACTTTACAATAACAGTACATCAATAATAATGTATTAATGTGTACTCTAAACATTATTGATGAGTTAAGGTATGCAATAATCATGAAATAACTTTAACTACAAGAGTTCATGTGTGAATAACTGCTACACTGTTTAAAAAACAAAACAAAAAAAAATGTAATTTTACGGAAAAAAACTATAAAATAACGGCAATTAAATTACAGAAATATATCAAAAAATAACGTATATTAAATGACAGAAATTTCCTTAAACTTAATTTCTGGAAAGTTTCAGTAAATTAATATCCGTTATTTTACGGTAAATTTCTGTAATTTAATCTTATTTTATAGTAAATTTCTGTAATTTAATATCTTTTACAGTAAATTTCTGTAATTTAATATCTTATTTCACAGTAAATTTCTGTAATTTAATATTTGTTGTTTTACTGTAAATTTCTGTAATTTAATCTCTTATTTTACGGTAAATTACTGTAATTTAATCTGTTTTTACGGTAAATTTTTGTAACTCAATACCTGTTTTACACAATTTTCTGTAATTTAATCTATTTTATGGTAAATTTCTGTAATTTTAATATCTATTTGATGTTAAATTTCTAACGTAACCCCCAGCTGCTGGAAATAAACCATTAAATTACAGATTTTATTTATTTTTTTACAGTGTACTTTAGTAGTTAAAACATGTTAACTATTAATTAACATTTAAGTTTAAACTAAATGTAACCAGCATGAACTCATGAGCTGTTATTGGATGATTTGTCATGACTTTACTTGGAGGGGCACATCACCATTAACATCCTTAACTACTCTTTAAACAGGCGTTCATCTGTTTGTGTTGATGTTGACAGAACACTTTTCTATTGTGTAGCGTGAACGCGCACTAAACAAACATCCAGAAGTCGTTCATGAGTAGTTAAGAATGGGTTAATGATGATGTGCCCCTCCAAGTCATGATTTAATTCTACATTAACCATCATGAACTGAGCTGTTAGTGGTTTGTCATGACTTTACTTGGAGGGTCACATCAGTTACCTTATCATTAACTACTCAACTCCTGTGTTTAATTGGTTCATGTTGAAATTTTCTGTTGTTTTTCAGTGTAAAAATGCACTTAATGAACATGCAGAAGTAATTGTAGTTAAGTGGGTTAATGATGTGCCCCTCCAAGTAAAGTCATAATATAATTACACATTAACCGTCATGAACTAAAGAGCTGTCAATGTGATTTTTCAGGACTTTATCATTAACTCCAACCCTCGTGTTTAAACTGTCCCACTGTTCTATTGTTATTCAGTGTAAATTCACTAAACGAACATGCCATAGTCATTAGTAGTTAAGGATGGGTTCATGATGATGTGCCCCTCCAAGTAAAGTCATGATATAATTTAACCATCATGAACTCATGAGCTGTTAATGCATGATTCGTCATGACTTTACTTGAGGGGCCCATCATCCTTAACTCATCATTAACTACTTACGAACTCCTGTGTTCAAACAGTGTTTTCTATTGTTGTTCAGTGTAAATGCGCTAAATAAACATGCATAAGTCGTTCATGAGTAGTTAAGAATGGGTTAATTATGATGTGCCCCTTCAAGTCATGATATAATTAGACATTAACCATCATGAACTAATGAGCTGTATGATTTGTTGTGACTTTACTTGGAGGGAGCACACCACCATTACTACTCATCAGCTCCTGTGTTTAAACTGTTAATGTTGACCACTTTTCTATTGTTATTCAATGTAAACGCACTAACGAACACGCACGTCATACATGAGTAGTTAAGAATTTTTAATGATTGTGTGCCCCTTCAAGTAAAGTCATGATATAATTGCAGTAACTGCTCATGGGTTCGTGATGATTAATTATGTGCCCCTTCAAGTAAAGTCATGATATAATTACAGTAACTGCTCATGGGTTCGTGATGATTAATTGTGTGCCCCTTCAAGTAAAGTCATGATATAATTACAGTAACTGCTCGTGGGTTTGTGATGATTAATTATGTGCCCCTTCAAGTAAAGTCATGATATAATTACAGTAACTGCTCGTGGGTTCATGATGATTAATTATGTGCCCCTTCAAGTAAAGTCATGATATAATTACAGTAACTGCTCGTGGGTTCGTGATGATTAATTGTGTGCCCCTTCAAGTAAAGTCATGATATAATTACAGTAACTGCTCATGGGTTCGTGATGATTAATTGTGTGCCCCTTCAAGTAAAGTCATGATATAATTAGACAGTAACTGCTCATGAGTTCATGATGGTTAAGGAATGGGTTAATGATGTGCCCCTTCAAGTGAAGTCATGATATAATTATAAAGTAACTGCTCATGAGTTAATGACCGTTAAATTAAGCATAAACTAATGTGCTAATTAATACAGCAATTAATAAACAATCATGTATAAGTAATTAAGGTCGCCGCTATTCACACATGACCTCGTGACTCATGTTGTAAAAGTTAGTTCATGATCATCACCTGTATTAACTCATCCATAATGTATAATTTACGTATTAATCCATCATTATTCATGTACTGTAATTGTAAAGTGTTACCTTTGTTAATTCAGTCTATAATCTGTTTGAAGTAAAAGTGCAATTCTTGATTTCTTTTTTTTTTTTTGCTCTGTGTTACTGAAGTTTCCTAATTGTGGCAGTACTGCGACTTTAAATGGACTGCTAACATGAGATTGCTGTATTATATTAAAGTCATTTTTTTTCAGAATGTGAAACTGGAGAATAAAAGGAAATCTGAGGAAATCTGTTTCGAGTGAGTTTTTATTCCCTTGTATGGTGTTTTTTTTAGTCTTTGTAAACGTGTATAGGGTATTTTAGTGTTCATATCTGCTCTCTCGTCTCCATGTTTTGCCTTTTAAGGCGTCGGATCCCAACCAGCTGTTTCCAGAGCTTCATCTAATCGCAACACAAGCACAGATCTGGCCGGCGTTTATTTGAGCAGCGCTAGTGTTTTCAAACTACGTCTGAAAGTCTAATGAAAGGATATCGGTGGGTAATTCAATTTGTTTGAATGGCACTTTTACAATGCGTTCCAGATCAGCTTTGCTAGAAATAGTGCTTTACTAACTGCCAAGTGAGCAGTTTGAGGGATGTTTACACAAGACTAAGGAAAAAAAACAAAACTTAGTTTTGGCCCTTTATTTTCTAGTCCGCAGCTGTCTGGAGGCATAAAAATAAATGCATTTAAAAAATGCTTCCAAAGTGTAAATTATTAAGATTGTTATCGTTTTACATATTAAAAACATGATTTTTGTGAAAACTGATGTAATCCTCGTGTGTTTTAACTTAAACCAAAACAGCGTGTTTTATAAGCTCACCATCTACTTGGGCCCGTTTCAGTAATGAGGTTCAACCAACTCTGAGTTTAAACTTGTACTCTACGTTTTTAATCTCTTGGTAAATAAACTGAGTTTTTAGTTTCAGAATGGCTGATCTGAGTTGGGTCAATCAACTTTGAGTAGACCAACTCAGAGTTAAGTGTGCACACCATGACTATAAAAGGCATTATCAATGGAGCGCAGATATTACGAGTGACCATGGCAACATCTGAAAAAAAGAGATCAGCATTTCTTTCTCCAGCTGAACTTGATGTGCTCATGCAAAGTTATGGCAAATATGAGCGTATATATTTAAAAAAGCAACACCACTGCATCAGAGAAACAGACAGAGTGGGAAAACAGCAGCTCAAGTTAATGCGTAAATTTACATTTACAGAATTTAAATATTTAATGAAATAAGTAATGTTAAGTTCCCACTTTTATACACGCTGATCAGTTTTAATAAATTTAAAAGTGCACTTGTGTGTCTGCCTCCTATTATTGATCTAGTGATAGAGGTTGATATGACATTTAGAATGTGAGCAGAACTAAAGTTTTTAGAAAGAATAATAATCCCATTGATGTAGTTACAGTACATGTCGAAGGTCTGTGAATTTAAGCAAATTATTTATTAAAAAAGGACAAGCCATTCTTGTACGTGACTTTGTTCTTTGTGTGACTGAAATGTAGGTAATAGCTATGTTTCCATCCAAATATGTTAATTAAATTTATGTGCAAAACTGGAATAACACATAAAAGATGTGTGAATAAAGCAGCGTTTCCATCCAACCAGTCAAAAAGAACAAAATCGTCACTTCCTGATTAACTGACGCCAAATATCAACAATAAAAACTGAATTTACTGCAGTAGAAGAAGCTGCGTCAATCTTTTCTTTACTTAATAAGTGTACTTGCACCCTAGAAGACAATGCTGACACACAATAAACATGTGGGGGCGTTTGAAGTCATGAGACGCGGAGAACAGACGCTCCTAACATGCTCCAGACGTTCTGGAGGTCATTATTAATATACTAACATTAATACTGAAACAGTTCAGGCATTTTAGAATGACCAAAACAACATTTCAGATGTGTTACACTGTGCTCAGCCTGCTGGTTTGTCCATTCACACACATTTTCATCAGCATATGATCTCTTATAACAAACATATTTTTATAATTATACATATAATTTGTTCGGTAAAAGTGTTTCCATCGTAGTTTATGCACATCTTTTTTTATCAAATAACTTTTAAAAATATGCAAACATGCTTATAACTGAGTAGGATAAACTTTTATATGCATCACGACGTTTCCATCAATCATCTTTATGCGCATCTCCAAAATGAGCATTAAAATAGGTGAATGGAAACGGAAGGCTAAGGCGAAAGTACTGCTTTGTCTTTAAAAAAGAGGAGGAGACCGACAGAAACTCTGAGTTTAGGGAATAAAACCTGCTCCTGTCCAGGTTAGGTTTACAGAGTAAGTTACCTTTCTTTCAGAAACAGGCTTGACTTACCCTGCTTTCTCGAGTTTGACAAACCTGCCATTCTGAAATGGAAAACCCAGAGTTTCTCTCATTTCAGGATTAAAATACTCTGAGTTTTCACTTAACCTCCTTTCTGAAACAGGCCCCTGGTCTTATTTGATCAAAGTAATAAAAATAATTATAATAATTGGTGGTAATTTTATTATTTTAATATATTAATGTGGTAGTTGTAAAATATACTAAAATAATTACTTTTTCCCCTACTGCACTCAACATCTAGTTGATTTTTCACACTGTATCCCTGGGTTAACGTTTTTTTAACCAAATAAAAAACTTTCTGGTAACGTTCTTCATTGTTCTTGTTTATATAGGAAAAATTTAATCTTAGTATTTTTTTTTTTCATTGCATTTAACAGGTAAGATTATGAATCAGTTTTCGCTCGAGAGTTTCTTCCTTCTGTAATTTCATAGAAATGTAAACCACATTATTTGTTCAATGCTTAATTTTGGGTTGCTGATGAACATTGAGCTGTTATAATCAGATGCACAGATGTATTTCCAGCAGGTTTCCATATCGCACTAGGCTTTGGATGAGATGCGTAAAGAAACTTGTCATGCATGCAGGAGCAGTTTGAGGACAAAAACCTAATAAATGTCTTAAAATACAACATTTGAACAGTCTTTAAGTATGGGAACCATAGTAGAGTAATTTACTTAAGATTTATACATTTTTGTTTTAGGTTTTTATTAGATATAGGAGGGACTTGCTTTGTTTTCCACATGGTTCCCAGATAGCAAAATATATCTGGCCCACACAATCAGCTTTTGCTTGACCCACGATACATGACTGGACCAAGTCTAGCTTCCAGACAAGGGCCAAACATGGGCCAAGTTAATAGCCTATAACTGGGCCAGATATGTTGGTGGGTCAAGACTGCAATGAATTTAAAAAACCCATGAATCATTGTGCTTTTCTCGAGCGACCTGATTGGTAGATTTCTTTTTTTTAATCTGAATATCATAAAATGTATTTTAAATGTGGGTCAAGATAGGTTAAACTTACATGGCCTATATTTCAATTCTTAACATCCAGGCCAAAAACTACCATTCACATCCGGCCCGAGTATTGTGTGCTACCTCTGCCAAACCAGGGCCATGTTTGGCCCACATGCTGTATGCCAGTGCCGGATGAATGCCTGCTGTGCCAGATTTATGCCAAATCTGGGCCAGAATTCTTTGCTACCTGGGTTCTAATTGAATTTGTATTGTAAACCTTAAAAAAACTTATTTTTTATTTCATGTTTCAAGTGTTTAGTTCCTATACTCAAATCATTCCACATAAATCCACAGATTTTTTTAAACAAAATTATGCAAGAAATGACAAATAATGTCTGTAGATTCTGTCTGGCCCTGATTTTAGTTGGCCTATACTGTTCAGTGTACTGTTTTGGAGTAAATAATCCAGAAGTGCTGTCAGTACTGGTATTTATAAATCATAAAAACACGTTTCTGCCTTGAAAGAAATGTGTAATGTTGAGACAGGGCTGAAATGTTTGTCTGCCTTTGACTTTCACTTGTATTCATTTCCTAAATCCAAAAAAAGTTAATTTCCCTCTAACAACTGTATTTAAGGGAGAAAATAAGAGTATCTATCTATCTATCTATCTATCTATCTATCTATCTATCTATCTATCTATCTATCTATCGCAATGTGTTTATAAGCCGACAGCCGTTTTAGCTTTCATGAGATCATAAGATGACATGATGTTGCTATTCACATCAAAAAAATGTCACATATACTATATTTAAAGCATTTTAGTAGCTGGAAGGTAGAGAAAAGGTTTGTGTTTGTTTAGTCAGGCTGACGTCAACTTTTGGCCTCAGAAATTCAAACCCAAACACCTACAGCGCAGACTCGCGCCAAGATTTAGGGTTTTATTGGCCTACTTTCTGTGACGTAATTTTTCTGAATGATGTCATCTTTCTATTTTTGGCCTCTAGCTCTTAGTTATACACGTAAATTCGATGTGTAGACAAGAAATATATTGTGTATAAATATAATCCATGCAATTAAATGGAATGACTCACGCACGTCTAAATGATGTGTGAAATGAAATCTCTCCCGGCGGGAAAAGAGTGATGGAGCGCTGTCGCCATCTTGTGGATACTGACAAAATCCAACAGTAAGACAAAGGTGCAAAAGATTTATCACTGCTAAAAGCAAATTTAACGTTAGTTAAAAGTGTTTTCTTAAGTTAATCTCAGTGGTTGTCTCGTTTAGTTATTTTATTTTTAAAAAAAATTGGTTATCTTAAATGTATCTAATGTTTTTTTTTTTTTCTATTTTAAAATCCTGTTAGTATTCCCGGAACGTTAATGAATAAACAACTTGAAGTTGTTTTAGTCTTTATTTCACCGTGGTTTGTGATTCACAATGTTAACGTTGATGGGGAAAATGTGACCTTCAACCAGAATTTATGCTAATCTTGGTTAAGTACAGTGTAAACTATCTTTTAAATTTGAAGTTAGCTATTTCCCCCCGCTGCATTCATATCTATTTATTTCACGCATCCCCGAGTTGACATGATTACAGCTAGAAAGATGATCTTACTTAATTGGAAGTCTCCAAAGGCTCCCTGTTTTAAGAGATAGTTGAATGAGCTTCTTTTTGTCAATCAAGGGACGACTACGTCTTGAAACTTCACAGAAAAATGCTGAAACCACATGGGGACCTATTTTAAGACTCTTGGGAATCTAGCATTTTACCTTTGTAAATTTTCATCTCTAGCTTATATATTCATGACACTGACTTTGTAAAAACGTGAATACTGTCATCTTTTTTTAATATGTTTATGCTACATGAGACGATCCCTCCCTCCCTTTTTTTAAGGGGGTGGGGGGCTAATGTTAATTATTTTGTATATTTTTTTTCTTCTTTT